TATCTAACAAAGAAAAAAAAACACACAAACATAGCAGCAACATAATGAGTCTCAGCTACCTGACGCATGGCGTCAGGGCTAAAAAACTAGTAATATAAATTTTTACAGTTTTGCGTAAACAAGAAAAAACTTATAATAGCAAATTTAATATATGTAAATTGACGATTATCATATTTTTCTTTTCTTAATCTGTTTAGTAAGGCTAATTATTTAGAATATTGCTAAAAAAAGAAAAAGAAAAATCAGATATCTATGGCTCTCAGACAATTGTGTGATATTGAACTATTGCTGCGGGGCTTTGTTAGCCCGGCAGCAAAAGCCAAATTTAAAAAAAAAAAAAAACACCGGCTCCCAGGCTCCGGTCAAAATTTTTTTTTTTTAAAAAGTGACACAGTCAGGCAGGAATGCAAAAGTTTTGAAAAAAAAAAAAGGCTGGACATTTTTTAATGTTTTATAGAACTATCATGCAAGATTAAGTTTGATGCTTGTTTCTCATTTTCTTCTGAACAATGAATATGGACCCTTATACCGAGATCGAACCAATGCAACGCATAGCCGCTCAGGAATGAATAGTGACTTGGTTTATACAAAAAAGTTTATTGCTCAAGGTATAGCATGTGGCAAATTTAATTAGATAGCTGCAGGTATAGGTGTCAAACAAATTCATTTAATTAAATTTATCCATATTCAACTATGAATAAATGGATATGCATATCTTAAACTTTTGCATATGAGTATAAATGAGTTACCCAATAATACCCATTTATTAAATGGGTATTATTGGATATCCCATCAAATCCAATAAATCCATAGAATTCTTTTCCCCCAAATCTCCTTTCTTTCCCTCACCCATTTTTTTAAAATTTTTTATTTTGTCATGATATTAACTGCTATTATTTCATTATTATTATTATTAATTGTTAGTTTTATTTTATCATTTTATTTTCTCTTAGTTTATTAATTGGCTCATTTTTCAGTATTATCAATTTATGACAAGTTTTATTCTCTTTTCCTACCTTTCCAAAATAAAATTTTAAATTTGCACAGGATTAAAATGCTAGGGGTTCAAAATTTTTGGATTAAATTTTTATGTTAACTTTTATAGTAGTTAGTTCAAATTTTTATATTCTTATTGTTCAATTATTAAATAGTATGTAATTTTGTGACATAAAGTACGGATGGGTAAAAAATTGGTAATTAGGCTTATTGAATATTACAAGTAAATATTTAAAACTAATAATGAGTGCAAAAGATGGTATAAATTGATAATTTAGTTTGCAAAAATAAATTTAAATAAGTTTACAAAAAGTTAAAATAAATAGGTTATAATTGTAAAATATCGAGTTCGAAACCTTCTACTTATTATACTGAATAAAAAAAGATTATAACGAAATAAGTGCTATAAAAAAAATAAATTTAGAAAGGCAAAAAAGGAACCAAAACAAAAAAAAAACAAGTGAATTTATCCATATTATATAACTGCTGGCGTGGTGACTGAGTGAAAGTGGGGGGAAAGTGGTGTCGTGAACAATAAAATATGGAAGCTAAGGGTCTGAAAGTCCACACCGCCTGTGAGTCAGATACAGATAGAGAGTCTGAGAGATGAGAAGAAGAAACGCTTGGAAAAAGTGCATGTGGTGCCGCACCTTTTTTTTTTTTTTTTTGAAACTTTTCCAGTCTGTTCTTTTTTAAAAACATTTTAGACACTTTTATTTTTAAAAAAAATTTTCATTTGCTGCCGGGTTGTCCACTGTTCTTTAAAAAAAAAAAAAAAAAAAAGATTTTGCCCGACAACAATAGTTCAATACCACACCATTGTTAAAGTCATAGATGTTCGATTTTTTTTTTGACAATATTCTAATTAACTAGTCGTTTAGCAACCACTTGTCTCCAAATCTTTTTCTTTATTTTTCTTGAGATTTTCTTTCATGAATATTATTTCTTCTAGCTGTTGATTTCTTATTCTGATGGCTGGCGATTATTTTATTTGTTCTGCCAGTGCGATTTGTCTTAAAATGCCCAAGTTAGCCTTCACTAATCAAATCCCTTTTAACATTTCATCTAACTTTCTGTTCTGACAGAGTCAAACTTGCAAGGCTGTTTCTGCTAACCAAAGTCAGACAATCGAGTGGTCACATAGAAATTCAGAATGTTAAATTTTAAAGAACAAGAATATCTGTAGAACCTTTTGGATGTAAAGTTTGAAACAAAAGCTACAAAAGGATGTAAAGTTCCGAATTTTATAGATAAATTTCTGCGCTGCTATGGATTCTGCGATCACCAACACTACTATCCAATAAATCGCAAACAAAGTAACTTTCATATTCTTGCTGCAATTTAACAAGTGAATAAGCAAGAAAAGAAATCGTAAAAAAAAACAAAAGAATTAATTTTTATCATTTTTATTTAGATATTCAAGAACCTAAAGAAATCTGTGAATACATGAATACCAAAGGTGAGATATGAGAGGAACTTGCAACGTGGATGATCGAGGCGAAGTAAAACGATTAGTCGATTCACCACTAGATAACATGCATTCTCTTTGAATATAATATAGCGGTTAATACTTGTTTTTAGGGGAAATTTGTAGTACCTGTTAAATCCTATATTGATGAAATTAAATTTATTATTGAATGAGAGTTATGAATTGTTAGATTTTATTTCAATAATTTGAATCATTTGATGATGTGGCAAAATGTAATTGGATTAAAATCATGATACAGTGTTCAATATTTTTCGCATTTTCAAGGATTCGCCGTCAGTAGCTTTTTTTTTTTTTTAATCCTATAGTGGTACGAATTCTTACTTAGGTTTTTAATCCTATGGTAAGTTCTCTTTGGTTTCTCCATTTTTATTTTTATCTTTGTTCCACTAAATTCCCTCTGTTGTCTACGTCTTATTAAACTTCTAAATAATCGTGTGCACTTTATCTTAGAGAAAATATTCTTTGCAATTACGCTCTGTGTTGGTAATTTCAACAAGAGAAATCCAACAAGGCATTGATATGTTATCAAAGAATATTCTCGAGCAGAAATTTTTTTTTTTTTATTCAACTCTGCTGAATCCATGCGGCCCCATTAAAAATTGCAGAATAACAACTTGTGACTAAACGTGTGTGATGCACAGTTGGTTGAGATTTCTAAAATAGCATGGAAAATAATAGAATATCCAAGAACATTAGAGCACGGAAAATTAGAAATTATTTTCTCAAGAAAATAATTTCTAACATATGTTTCAAAAAGAAACTAAAACATACTTCATTTTCGACGAAAAAAATCCCTTGATCCTTGACCATTTGGTTTTTCCACAGTTTTGTACATGTTAGGGGTCTTAATTGGTCAGGGACTTTAGTGGAATAATTGATGTTTGTGAAGGCATTTTTGTACACGGAATTTGTAAGGAAAAGTCGATTGTCTATAGAGATTTATGAGTGACATACCTGACAACTGCAGAAGATTCCCTTTCAAATGGTGGCGTACCTGACAAATTCCAGAAGTTTGTTGAATTACAACAATGGTGACGTACCTGACAACTATGTTGAAGAAGATTCCCTTTCAAATGGAATTAAACAACTATGGATTTCTTTAATTAGGATTTGATTAAACAATTAATTCTTTGAATCTACGATTAGATTGAAACCATATAGTTATTAAATCCAATCCGGAAAGGAACCGGCGAGGGAGATGGGCCAACGGATCACTGATTCAACCAGTGGGTGATTGGTTAAATCAATGGATCACTACATATATTTAAATATTATGTTTCATAATTTTTGATATAAGATATATGATATAAAGTATAATAAACAATATGTCATCGTAAATGCTCATTTAATTTAATTCGCTATAGAATAATTAATTCATATAAGAATTGACAAAACATAAATTTAATTAGTAATCCATGAAACTTCACGTGTAAAATTTTATCTGTGTTTAATGTAATTATCAAGGTTATTTACGAATTTTAAGTGCAACAAATTATTAAAAACATTATTTGTCTTTAAAATAAATTATGTAATATGTTATTTTTAAAATCCATTTTATAACTTATAGAATTTAGGGGGTCATAAGTTTTTATTAAAAGATTTCAAATAAATTTGTTTTAGAAAAATAAAAAAAGAATAAAAATAAAATTGACAAAATGTTCATATAGTATATGACAAAGTGGTCTAGTGGTAAGCATGTCATAGATATATGCCTCAAGTCTCAAATTCGAATCTTAGCAAGAGCGTGTTAAAATTTTTTCCACAAAATTGATTCGCCCACAAAACCAAGCGGTTCCCAATTTAATCCGATTGAACCGTTGAGTCATTAACCAGTCAACGGGTTTTGTGTTTAAACGGTCTAATTAGAGACCCAACCCAACCTAATGACAAGTTCATCTAGTTGATCAGTTCGACCACCAGACCGGGTCGGGTTTAATATATATGATTGAAACATATAGTTGATAGACTTTCTTTGTGTTGCCCAATTATACGGACATCATTGATTGGTAATAATTTATTTTTAACAAATTTTTGAAACATACAGCTGATAGATTTTTTTTTTACAAAGAAAATAATAATAATATCTCTAAATTTAGCATAATCAAATTTTAGATGTTAGAATTGGGTGTGTTTATTTATTAAAACAAGCATCAATAAAATCTGTACAGACTTAACTTAATTATCATGAAATATGTCATAGGACGACATATGTTTTTAATTTTGTTTTATTTGTTTGTATTGTGCTATTTGTTTACCTTATACTAGGAACTTTGACTTTTTTTCCTTTACTTTAAGAATAAGTAATGCATTTATTAAACAAGCATTCATGTTAGTAGTGTAATTACCAGCTAATAAAATATTAAATTACATGAAATCAAGCAATTATGTTATTCCTTAGAGTGAATGGCCCAAAAGGTCACTAAACTATTAAAAATAGCATCCTTTGGTCACTAAACTTTTTTTGTGGTCGAAAAGGTCACTAAACTCGCAAAAACTCTCCAGCGTAGTCATTTTACCGAATTTCAACGGTTTCTCATCGGTTACAAGGGTCTTGAATTGAATAAATATTCTAATATGGGCAAAAATGTCCAAAAATTATTGGGGCAAGTGAACTCACAGACTGTTTCGTTCCCAAAGTTGACCAATCAACCGACATTCACTTCGTCTTCTCCGGTGAAGTTTACTGGCTGTGAACACTTCACTTTCCAATTTGACCCAGTGCAGAAGTTTACTAGCTGTGACCGAGATTCACTTTCCTCTCTGTCTCGTCACTTCCGACCTCCCCAGTCTCCCTATCCGTCCCACCACTAACCCCAACCCCACATCCAACTCCGACGACGATGACCCCTTTGAGCCCACAAGTTTCATCACTGCTTTCACCACGGCCGTGCCCAGATTGTTGGCGTTGATGGCAAGCGGGTCCTAGAAACAACTGTTAAGGCTGGTAATCTGTTCATAGTTCCCAGGTTTTTCGTTGTCTCGAAAATTGCTGATGCTGATGGTCTCGAGTGGTTCTCTATTGTCACAACTCCAGAGTCAGTACTCCTCAAATTCAATGCTTGATTGTTTTTTTTTTCCTCTCTATCTTGTAAATTCATTCTGACCGTGTTTTTATTTTTGGGTTTATTGCTGTGGTATGGCAGTCCCATTTTCACTCACATGGCTGGAAGAACATCGGTCTGGAAGGCCTTATCCCCGGAAGTGCTGCAGGCTTCCTTCAAGGTGTCCCCAGAAGTGGAGCAACAATTCCGCTCAAAGAGGACCGCAGAAGAAATCTTCTTTCCACCAAATTAAAGCGGGTTTCCCCAGTTCTTCAAATAAGTCTAGTCTCAAGTATAACGAGGTCGGATGTCTCAGTACCGTATTAGGTGGTTTTCCGGTGCTTAACACTGGAGTGACTGGACACAAAAAAGCTTGATATGAATGCTTCCTTTTCTTGCTCTTTTTTCATTTGATACGAGTAAACATTTTTGCCCTTTGACTATATTCCTCCATTCCACGTTGCCCATGCCACCGGATGAGAAACCGTTGAAATTCGGTAAAATGACTGCGCTGGAGAGTTTTTGCGAGTTTAGTGACCTTTTTTGCCACAAAAAAAGTTTGGTGACCAAAGGATGCCATTTTTAATAGTTTAATGACCTTTTGGGCCATTCACTCTATTCCTTATTCGTTATTATGTCCTCATTGTCCATATCAAGTGAAAAAAAAAATATTTATGCATCTGCTCGAAAACAAACAGTTTAAACCTGGTCAAAACGCAATTGCAATCAAAACCATGACTCTACTAATCAACTTAAAATCACATACTCATACAAATTAATTTTAGAGAGCCTTTATTACTATTACTATTTTAAAACTTTTCCATGTCAAAATCATCTGAGTCATAAAATAGATTTGTTTAAACTATATAGTACGGAACAATATAGCCAAAACTACACCTGAGCTTTACACGCGTACAAGAACATGAAGCGTACCTAATACTAACTTTTGACAAAATTCACAACATGGCCACAGCAAAGATACAAAATTAAAAAAAAAAAAATTTGCGACCAAAGGCCACACATATCCTGAACTAAATAACTCAAACATATTCGTATTTCTAGAAAACCAGGTAATATTAGTGGCAATGTACATTTTCCCCCATGCAATTAAGTGATTCAAAAATTCGAATTTGAAAATAATCCAAAGAAAATGCGAAGGGAAATGGAAAAGCAATTACAATATGCTCCAAAAACTACAAACAGAATAACCATGAATTATAAAATGTTGGCCAACATCCATTTCATTAAAAAAAAAATAAAATAGAAGAGTGTTTCCTCATGGATTTAACATATCAGGCATAGATGATTAACCAAATAATTCCCACCCCCAAATTTTCAATTGCATACAAATATTTACAGATATCTTGCAAGAAAAAGCAAAACCCTTTACACAACTCAATATAGGCAAGTGGTCATTGTCAGTTCGTTCGTTATCCATCGATTAGTATACTAGAAATGGTCACAACTTTAATTCTTGACCTGACCAAATGAAAATAACAAATAAATAGATCAAAGGGGTGATTTCAAGACAGCTAATTATAACTGCCCTGCCCTTGTTTCCTTGAAAGTTTAGCTGAGGATAGGATACCAGTCTTGCTCTGGGAAGCCAATAGATGGGAAGGGATATAATAAAGGGGAGGATTTGTGGTGGGGTTGGAGGCGGACGGTGGAGGGGGAGGCGCTGGTGAACGGAAGAAGAAGGGTGAGAAGACGGAGGTGGTGGCGCTAGATATTGCAGATAAAGTTCTGGTTTACAACTGTCAACAAGTGTGTTTGAGATAATTTTGTAAAAAAAAATACAGTAGTACTTTTTTGATGTAATGGATACGAGATAAAAAGATAATTGAAAAATATATTGATGATGCAAACAAATCAATATATGTAAATAAAGTGTAAATAATGTGCAATCCAAACACACTCATTACGATCGCTGGTTACTTCCAACGTTTTAATGTTTTCAAAAGTTGATTTTTGATCAAAAGAATGACTTTAGTAAAAAACCAAAAAAGAGAAAAAAAACCCTCCCTCTTTTATACTCTTCTATTAAGCCATGCCATTTTTCTTTTTCTTCTTATATTTCCTTTTTATTTATTTTTTTATTTTTAAATGGGAAACAATATACATAGACTTAATTTTGGGTAGAAAAATGTTAATTGTAGAAACATATGCACTAAAAAAATTTTCAGTACAAAATTACGTGGTTTTTGAAGTAGAAATGTTCTATTTCCTTAAAGAAACAAAAATAGGAGTATTCTTCATATTTTTGTCAAAAGTACAACTATAAATACACGAAGGTTAACAAACAGCCCCTTAATTTCAACTAAAAACAATAATATTTAGTGAAATAAGCATTCAATTTTGCCAATTTCGACTTCGATTTGTGGACATTTTATATTTTTGTACTTTGAGGAAGGATTGGGTTGGGTGATAAAGTAGAAAGGATTGTAAATAGGAGTTTCTAAATTCAAAACTTCTCACTTGTAATATATATATATATGTTGTGGTTTAATTTCTTTTGATATATATGTTTGTTTATTGGTGTGTACATGAAGTTATCCCATTTTTTTCGACTTATCTATTTTGCGGCCTTTCCAAATTGGGTTCTTGAGAATCACATAAATCACATCTGGATGGATTACATGAAGTGTGGATTTTAGAATGCTGCCGCCTTTGCTTGTTTTGGTGATTATACCTGGTATGGATTCTGCTTCCTTTGAGATCTTTGGATCAACAATTTCCATTACCTGATGGGGAAGAGCCATCTTAACATAACTATGGAGACTAAAATCTTCTGTGAACATGCTGTCAGTAGGCCTTTTCCCTGTAAACAATTCGAGCAATAGAATACCATAGCTGTATACATCTCCTTGTGTTGATACCTCTCCACCCATGCCATATTCTGCAATTTCAAGTTCCAGGAGGACGGACAAGAATTATTAGCTGAAATGCTGAAGGGATTGAAAGGTCGAATAATTGTGGACATCTCAGACATTCTAACTGAAATATTGTTCAAACTTAAGAAGGCATGTAATTGTACCTGGAGCAACATATCCAACTGTTCCTCTAATTGCTACTGAGCTGCTTTGATGTTGATGGGGTTTACCTTCGATGGGGGAAAGAAATTTTGCTAGGCCAAAATCACTAACCAAGGCGCAAAAATCATCACCTAGCAGTATGTTGCTCGGCTTTAGATCACAGTGGATAATCGGTGTCCCACAATGGTTATGAAGGTAATCCAAGGCGGACGCAATGTCGATTGCAATATTCAGTCTTTGTATCAACTGGAGCTTCATTAGGCTTTGTCCTTCTTCCTCAGCTGAACTTGGATGTAACCAATTCTCTAAACTTCCATTGGGCACATATTCGAAAATCAAAGCTTTGAAATCGTTGTGTTTGAAGTCTAAACTTGAACAAGAGGTTATGATCTTGACGAGGTTTCGATGGCGGATGTTTCTCAACGCTACACATTCAGCCAAGAAGCTCTTATGGGCACCATGTTGGTGGAGCTTAAGAACCTTAACAGCAACCATTTGCTCACCAGGTTTGAGGACCCCTTTGTAAACAGAGCCATATTTACCTTCACCAATCAAATTTTCTGAAGAAAAACCATTGGTGGAATCATATAATTCTGCATATGAGAGAGCTTCTGATTCTGTTTTTCTGCTGCAGAGGTAAAAGGTAATTGTTGTTTTGAGCTTCTTAGTCTATGAATTGCATAGGCAGATATGAGTAGTAAAACTAAAGCTAGAGGAATAGTAATGGCAATAACTATTACTATAGGAGTAGACAGCTTTGCTTTCTTTTTGGTAGGTTTCGGACAAGATGATAAGTTCAATGCTTTGATTCCTCCGCATAGCTTTCCATTCCCCAGTGCTGAAAAGGCACTAGAGTTTGCAAAGATCCCATCCATTGGCACTTCACCCTCTAGCATATTATAGGAAAGATTTAGAGTGCTGATGAATTTTAATTTTGCCAAAGAAGCTGGAATTTGCTCTGACAAATTATTCTGAGATAGATCTATGACCTGAATGCTTATCAATTCTCCTAAAGTAGAAGGTACAGAGCCTTCCAAAAAGTTACCTTTCAACCGAAGATATTCCAACATCTCACAACCATCAATAGAGGTTGGAATTTCACCAGATAATTTGTTTTCTGAAATATCCAATGACACAAGATTCTTCAAATTGCCAACTTCTGATGGTAATGATCCGGTGAATTGGTTTTGAGCTAAGAGGAGGCCAAGAGAGAGAGATGAAAGACCAAGAAGTTCTTTAGGTAAAGCTCCACTTAGGCGATTCTGACTAACAGTAAATCCTTGCAAGTTACTGCAGTTACTCAAAGAAACAGGAATGTTACCTGTAAGCATGTTCTGTTCTAATACAAGAATCTGTAGTTCAGAAATGTCACCGATTGTTGAAGGGATTTCTCCTGTGAAACTATTTTCAGACAGATAAAGCTCCTGCATTTTACAAGTTTGCCCACGGAATCAGGAATAATGCCTGAGAGAAAAATGTTACGCACATCGAGATAGCCCAAGCTTGCAAGGTTTCCAATCCCAGAAGTTAAGCTACCAGATATAATGTTATCATTCAGCCAAAAAGATGTGAGTTTGGTTGAAAGATTGGCAATGGCAGTTGGTAGTATGCCTCCAATTTGAATTCTTGACAAAATATTTGTAGATTTGTGCAATTTGATAAGGAAGAAATAAAGCTAATATCATTTGCTTTATCAGTTCCAAGGGGATTATGGCCAAAATGTAAAACCTGAAGTTCTCTCAGGCTACCAAGATTTTGTGGAATTGATCCTGTGAGTGAATTGTCTCCTATGCTAATTTTTATGAGCCCTGAAGCATTTGCTAATGTAGTGGGAATTGATCCAAAGAATAGGTTCAAATCAGCCAAAAATAAAGTAAGGTTTGGAAGAGTCAATCCCACAGTAACAGGAAACTGTCCACTTAATAGATTGTTAGTAATAGAAAAGATCTGGAGAGTCGAAATGTTGTAGAGCTGAGGAGGAACTGCACCTAAAAGTTTATTTGAGGACAGCTCAAGGACATGCAGATTTGAAAGCCGACAAATCTCAGATGGAATATTTCCACCTAGATTGTTTCTTGATATGCTAAATATCTGAAGAGAGGAAATATTACCCAAAGACGGTGGAATACTGCCTGAGAAATTATTACTGGAAAGGCTCAGAGCATAAAGCTTAGATAAAGTGCTCAGGTCATCTCGAATTCCCCCGATGAGCCTGGTACCCCTTAAATCAAGAATACTTAGCTCTAAACAACCAGTGATATTTAATGGAAGTTCTCCCTCAAAGGAATTATTGGCAAAACGAAGATATTGAAGCCGAAAAAGTCTGCCTACTTCTTCAGGAATCATACCATGAAAATTGTTATCCTGAATATTG